GCATTAGTAAACGGTCAGACATGAATCGATTTGAATGGACATTGTAAGGTCCTAAACATTCTCACAATTGGAAGCCCTTTTAAAACCGAAAGGGAAGGTTTCTTCAGGAAAAAAATCTGAAGAAGACGTGATCGGCTATCAGACGAACACAACCACGAATACTTTTGCTCGTACTCTCTACAAAATATTCTTGACCTCAGTAAGAAATCCGTACTACCAAAATAGTGGTTTTGGTGAAGTATCTTATTTTAGGCAGCCGGTATCCTCCCGTGTCCGAAATAGCACGGGATTGTATTGTATCTTTATCCATCTGATGACTCCACTTAAGTAACCTCTCCTGATCGCAAATACAGTTCATAATTTTGGGTTAAAATTTAACGAAATCTCTCACTGACTGTAGGCTGCCAGTGTCTTGTTGCAGCTTTTCATCCACTGGACCAATTTGAAAATCTAGTGGTCTGCCTACCTTGGACAGCGGTTTTGGTTTTGTTTTTGGTAGTAAACGAAACATCTCAGTCCACGTGTCGTACGGAAGTGACACGCCAATAATTCTGTCTGGTGGTACCACAGCCCCAGGTAGGGTTTTTTGCGAATGTTGTCAAAAAAAAATAGTTTACGCGCGCAGTCGAGATTTACTACTACTACAACCGCGGAGACACATGCGCACGCACCCACCGACGCGCGGACCGGGCTGCGGCCGGAAGATCCTGGCATGCCAACTGGTCGCAAGATCTGCGATGAGCTGCCGAATCTTCGCCACAACCGAATGACATAAAATATGCAAGTTTTGGGGCATAGCTTGTCCGTGTGTTTATGGAAGGCTGGTAGATAATGAGACAACTCGTCCCTTTTTCAGGAATCGGAGGAATCCTAGTTTGGGTCCCAGAAATAGTTCAAATAATCTAATGTTTTTGAAAAATAGCGCGCTATGCTCATATTTCTTGCATACAGTTTATTAAGTGTGACAAATTTGTACAGTTTTTACTTCTCTTTACTTTATAGTTTATTGGGTTTCTTGATATTACTGAAAACATTTGAAGGGTAGGAGGTCGTCTACTTCCAATTACCTGATGTCCAAATGACCGTTCTGGAGTTAGATAACTTTACGTACGGTTATTTATTTCGTTAATTTAACTTAATTATAGTTCAGTTCAGTTTTCTGTTTAGTTTTCACTTCATTATTATGTTAACTATTTTTATTTAACTTTAAGATTATCTTCTAACTAACGTCACTTTAGCTTACTTTACTTTACTCTTTTAGTAAGTTGACTTTAGTTATAGTTTGTTAGTTTTTAATTTAGTTCTTTCTCAAAATTTTCATAAGGAACATTTTAACTATGGAGCACTTCTTGTTGACAAACATTAGGGCATTCAAATAATCCTGCATCACATTCCATAAACAGGCAGTTGACAGACTTGAAAAAAAACGATTTGCTTGTCGGAGCGGAAAGGACAGTTGATGCCTACTTTAAGGAACACGTTTTCATCGCATATCGGGACACTTATCACTATGAGGAGGAACCGACAAAGGCAAGAGAAGATGGCATAACCGTTTCTGGCTTATTAACAGTTATCAGCCATTCATACCCAATCCAGAATCTTCGATTCAGGTTTTTGATGCAGTACATCGCGTTCCATGCGCAAACTATCCCTGCAACTACACAGGTCAGACTGTATACGTGCTCGGATCTTGCGTAAGCGAACATGAGGAGACTGTGGGACGGGGTGACGGAGTGTTAAGTTAAGTGTTAAGTTAAGTCTGAGCCACCGCTGAAAACTCGCTCGGTCTGTATATGGATCTCACGTCGGCATACAGTGGCCTGCGCAGACACCTCCAGAGCTGCGTCACTAATGTTTGATTGGCCCATACCGTCCA